GAGGAATGCATATCACCCATCATGCCAGAGTTTTAGTCTAAGATCGTCTAGTCTACAAATGGGTACCATTTTTGTAAAACACTGTAAATAACACATTTATTCAACCTTTATTAATACAGGTTATCTCATCGAATCACAAGGACTCATTGCCATGTGATTATGTGTGATCTTATGTGATATCACACACAGAGCATGTGATGTGATTTTCAGCTCCTATCAAATCAAAGTTCAGATAAAAATGTATAAAAGTGACTGAGTTTTAGCTATTTTTGTGTAGACTAAATTTGATTAGCTGTGGCGGCAATCCTAAATTGTGCTGACACCAAAAGTTAATCAGTTGTAGATGCACATCCTATGATTACTTTCTGAAAGCTTCAGTCAAATCTGCCCTGTGGTTCATGAGATATTTTGCTAACAGACTGGGTTAATGATGAGCGCTCAGTTAATGTGTCAGGGATCAGTCTCAGCTACCACTGATCCAAGCTCCACATCTGTACAACTGACACTTGAAACCGTTTTTCCTCCCTGTTGCTGGAGGTGATGTCAGCAGCTGGAACAGCAACTGGATCCAGCTCCCTGCAGATGTGATTAGTCCAGCTGTCCGTGAGTCACGTCCCTGTTGTCAAGGGAACCCGGTGAGGCTGACGTTCCCATAAAAACCTCCTCTTCCTCCTGTAAGCCCTCCAGCGGGCAGATGTTTGCTCCTCGTCCTCGCCATGTAGAGGAGTCTCCTCCGCTCACAGGAGGCGGAGGATTCGTGTTTTTAGAAAGTTTAGAGGCAGCAAACATGTAATGTGATGTTCCCTGACGTGTTCCCGACCTGCATTTATCCAGCCGCATCAACTTCACACAGCTACTGATTAATATTTAAAGCTGGACGTGATTCAGATGTTCGTTATTAGCCCAAGAGAACAAAGGAACGAACCATAACCGCCCGAGCATCAGGTTGGGGAGCAGCTGAACCTGAAGTAACTTTAAACGCGTTTATAGTCGCCTGGCACGTGACCGGAAACGGGTTCAGCCTCGAGCCGTTAAGCTCCGGGCTCCTACCTGTGTTTGTCGGTTAGTTGGTGTCTCCGAGGATCGCGAGTGAGCTGAGCATCTCCCTGCCTCGCAGAGGTCTGGGCTCAGCACCGCGGACAGCGGCTCGTGCCATTAGAGGAGTCACGTGACTCTTGCGTCAGAAGCTACACAACGCTCACCCTCTCTCCGCGCGCTCTCTCTCTCTGTGCGCAGGCGCAGTGCAGCCCAACCATCACAGTTTGTGTCGGAGCATCCTAAATGTGAGCAGTTCAAGTCATTGTTATTCACAATAACAGGGCTAAACTTAGAACTGCGGGTCTCTATGTGAAGCAGGAGGTGTCGGCTTCCCTAATGTTTATTTTCATTTAATTAGCCCACCTGCTGAGGCACAAGATAACAGCACTGAAGGGCTGATACAAGCTTGGACTGTGTTTTTATGATTTTTAATATCACTTGTCTGAGAATATGATTGTATAGCATAATACACAATAAAATCTGCTGGGTTAAAAACTGCTTGGTTTGTGACAGCGCTGAGTTAATGTTCGTGCTGCTGTTGATATACCGTATTGTTTTACATTATTAGTGTTTAGCGTACCCTGTATATCTTAGATATTTTAGCATACCGTAACCCCGTTTGGCGTTCATTTAGCGTATATCTTAGTGTATATCGTAGATTCTTATACTATACTGTTTCTTTTTATACTTTATATTTTTGCTGTTTTTGGGTGTGACACTGAGTACACAGTTTTGTTCCACCTTATGTACCACATGGGATGCAAATGACAATAAATTTGAACTTGAACTTAAGTTTGGACCAGTCCTGAGTAATTTTAACTCAACAAGGCTATCATTTCGACCCCACATCCTGGGTCAAGTTTTTGACCCTAAAACTGTTAGATGACTAATTTGATGAACTAAGTTGAGTTAAAAATATAAACTCAAAATGTGGGTTTTTATAAAATTACTACTTACATTGGAACGAGGACTTGTACTGATTGGCGAGACAGAGGGATCAGGCTGGAAAGGATGTGCAGCAGGTTAAGCTTGTTAAAGATAGGAATGGTTAAGTTCTAACAAATGAGGAGAGTGTGAAGGGAAGATGGACAGAGTACTTTGAGGAGCTAATGAGTGAAGAGAATTAAAGAGAAAGAAGAGTAGAAGTTATAGAAACTGTGGACAAAGAAGTGGGAAAGATTAGTGAGGGTGAAGTTCGGAAAGCTCTGAAAAGCATGAAGAAGGGGAAGGCAGCCTGATGACATACCAGTGGAGTTATGAAGATGTCTATAGGTGAAATAGTCAAATTTTAAATTTTGTTTTTATTTTAAATGTTTGTTGTTGTTTTTTTACAAAGTAGATTGAGAAAATGCTCGAGGAAAGGAGTAGAAGAAATTTGATACTAGCTAGCGCAAACTGCTATGAGCGTCACCTAGCAAACACCAACTAATGTTAGTCTGAGAAAGCAAAATCACTAACTAGTGCAAACTAAAGTTATTAACAAAACCAACCAGGCTAAACATATTGCTATAAGTTGTTTTTACTTGTCTTTACTTATCACATCTTAAACCAAAGTCTTATTGAATTTGGTCAACTTCTGGTTTTAAAATGGCGGACTGTGAAGAATGGCAGCTCATCTCAAACACAACCACTGGGTCAGACCTTTTCACCCAATACTTGGTCAAACCAACCTAAAAGTTTAAACTCAGCAACAAAGTTATCAAAATAAACCAGCAGCTTTTAGTGCACAGTGTGTGTGTATGTGTGTGTGTGTGTGTGTGTGTGTGTGTGTGTGTACCTGTTTTTGTTACCTTTTTAGGATTTGTTGTTTTGGTATAATCACCCTTGTCAGGACTGGTAGCCCTTTTTGTGACCAAAGACCGGTCCGAAGATGGAAGGTCATTTATGGATCAGGGGTTAGACTTAGGGTCAGGGTTAGGTAAAATAAATTATTGATAAACGTTGATACAAAGAAATTCAAAGGTGTGTGTGTATGTGTGGCACAGTCTTTGCAGAGTTGCTGTGACTGACGTCTGTTGTGTCTCTGCTGCAGCAGAGAGGGACAGAGGCAGTTAAAGTCCACCGATGACTCACACACGGTCTCTGCCACAGTTCAAGATGGGCGGGGTGACTGCAGAGGGTGTGTGTGTGTGTGTAACAGCGATAGACTATGCTTCTGCCATCATGCAGCATGGTTTTTATTTTTGGCTGATTGTCAAATCTTGTCGAGCGTAAAGCTGTGTGTGTGTGTGTGTTTTCATTCATAAATGTGCTGCTCTGTTAAAATCGGAGCTCCTGCTTTTCTCTCTCGGCCTGCATATCTGACGTTTTGTGACGTGGTTCTTGTTGGTTTTTTTAATACCTTTTTTACAATTGCAGCATATAAAATGTCTTTTCATCCCTTCATTGCTTACATATTACCCTACAGTGACTCACAAATTATTTGACTGCTGAAATACAGAGAAAAATCTGGATTTTAAATCTTGTATTTCTGGTCAAATAAAAAGCATTATTTGCCATTTTATCGATAAGTAGAAGAAAGCTTTTACTTCAAACAGCAGAGTATTGAAGAGTGGGAGGACAAAGGCTGATGAGTCATACACAGCAGTCTTTTCAGACTCATTAAGTAAAGTCCTGCCCCATTTACAACATTTGCATGGATTTATACTGAGTATACTGACAAAACATTGTTTTATTCTCATGTCTCCCTTGGACTAATTATGATTTTCCCCCATGACGAGCACACATGCCGGTTTCTTCCTGACAAACACGAGCTGGCAGGCTAATTGTTCTGACTGTCAGTTCCACCCACAGTTTTACTGCCTTGTCCACTTAAAATCTGAACACTTCCTCAGGTCAAATGTGGCATTTTCTTCTCTATAAATGATACTTGTTATGGTTCTGTTTGCATGAATGTGAATAATGACAGTTTTGAATTTATTCAGTTTATTTATATAGTGCCAATTCACAACAAAGTTGTCTTAGGGCACTTTACAGAAACACATACACATTCACATACACAGAAAAGCCAATTAGTAAAGTTCTCTATCTAAGGAAGCAGCAGACAAGTTGAATCTTCACTTTGTTACAGTCTCCCATCATGAACAAGTGCAACGGCAGCAGTGACAAGGAAAAACTCCCTTTTAACTGGAATAAACCTCCAGCAGAACCAGACTCAGGACAAGCGGCCATCTGCTTTGACCGGCTGGTTGAGAGGACAGGAAGGAGAGACAAACAAACACAGAATGACAGGTCCAGATATAAGTCCAGGTGTACCTGAAAGACAAAAACACACGTCAAGGATAGAAAAAATAATTACAAATACAAAACTGGTTGAGCAGAGTAAGTAAAGACAGTATCAGAGTGAACATTGTGGTCAGTTTGTCCTCCAGCAGTCTAAGCCTATAGCAGCATAACTAAGGGACAGCTCAGGAAACCCAAGCCAACCCTAACTATAGGACTTATCAAAAAGGAAAGACTTAATCTTAGTCTTAAATTTTTTTCTCAACCTTTATTTATACAGGTTAATCCCATTGAGCCTCGAGGACTCATGTACAAGAGAGACCTGAATAAAAACATGTTTTTTTTTTAAATAACTGAAAA